CCGCCCCAAGGCATCTGGGTTCCTCTTGCACATACTTGTGCACCCACACCCCCTAGACACACCCAGAACCCAGGCATCCGGTTCACTCACACATGCACCCACACGTGAGACCCAGGTGTCTGGGCCCCACAGATGCACGTGGAACCCAGGTGTCCTGGGTCCACGCACCCTTCCACCACCAGCAAGCAGAACCCAGGCCTCCGGGCTACACGCACCTTGCAGCCCTGGGCGCTGGTGATGCGCACGTCAGCTGGGACCCGGTCCCCTCCCTTGATCTCCACCAGATCCCCGACCACCAGCTGGTTCGCGTTGAGCTGGAACTTCTCCCCATCCCGGATCACCGTGGCTTGCTGGGGGGGCACAGGGGTCAGGGGCAGAGAACCCAGGCATCCAGGCTCCCAACCACCCCCAAAGGCAAACGGGACGCAGGCATCTGCCATCCCCAAGCCGGATGGGACCCCGGCGTCCGGGGTACCTGGGGCACGAGGTTCTTGAAGCTGGCGATGATGTTGGTGCTCTTAAACTCCTGGTAGTAGCCGAAGCAGCCGGTGACAACTACGACCGCGATGAGCGCGATGGCCAGGTACAGCTGGGGAGGGCAAGGAGGGGTCAGAGGCCTGGATGCCTGGCTTCTCGCCACAATTTGGGGGCCAGGGAGCGGAGAACCCAGGTGTCTGAGCCCCCCCCTCTCAAGGAACCCAGGTGTCTGCCTCCCAGCCCCAGGGGACCCGGGTGTCCTGCCCCCAGGAACCAGACATCCTGCCCCCCCAGCACCCGGAAACCAGGCATCCTGCCCCAGCGGACCCGAGTGTCCTACCCCCCCCCAAGCACCCGGGAACCAGGCATCCTGCCCCAGCGGACCCGAGTGTCCTACCCCCACCCCAGCACCCGGGAAGTCGGGCATCCTGCCCCAGGTGTCCGGCTCACGTTGTCGGCGCTGGTGAGGTCGCCCTGGCTGCACTGGATGCCGAAGGCGATGAGGCAGATGGCGGCCGCCACCCACATCAGGCACTGCAGCCCCCCCGCCAGCTGCCGCGCGAACTTGACGTACTCGGGGGTCCCCCGCGGCGGCTTCAGCTCGTTGGGGCCGTCCCGCACCAGCAGCTCGGCCGCCAGCCCCCCGCTCAGCCCCTGGGGGCGGGGACATGCAGATCAGGGGGGCGGGGCGCGGCCTGGGGAGCCCCACGCCCTTGGGGTCGGTCTGGGGGGGTGTGGGGCGCAACCCAGAAGTGGGCGCATGCTGGGTGGGAATAGGAGCATGGCGGGCAGGGGGCGGAGATATGCAGATGAGCGGAGGACCAAGTTTAGGGGCACCTTGAGTAGAAGGACTAGGAGGAGGGGCCCGTGAGGGGGCGGGGCTATCGGTGGGCGTGGCCAAGAGGGGCGAGGCCTCACCTTCCGGACGCTGGTGCTGTACTTGATCTCCAGGTCCTCCACGCTCAGAGTGTGGTCGTCCTGGGGGAGGGGGCGGGGCCTGTGAGTGGGGGGGGGGAGATCCCCCCCCCCCCCCCCCCCCCACACCCCCCCCCCCCGCCACACGAACGCTTCATGCCCTTCCCAGAGCAGTGAGAGACCCCAGGTGTCCGGGCCCCCTCCCTCCCCAACTAGCGAGAGAACCGAGAGGTCGGGGCAGCCCACCCACCACATCCATCTCCTTCTTCATGCTCTCCAGCTTCTCCTTTTTCTTGGCCCCGCGCCCCTTCTTGACGCTGACGCCCAGCTCCCCGTCCGCGCCGCGCCGCGCCTCCACCTCGAACATGTCGTATGTCTCCTGCGGGCGACACCAGAGCTTGCTGCAGCAGGGCCCAGAAAAGCTCCTTGGAGCAGCGTTATGTGTGGCCGCTCCACCCCAGAGCTGGCTGCATCTCGGCACCGAGTCAGGGCCTCTTTTGTTGTGTTATATGTGGCTGTTCTTCCCCAGGGCTGGTTGCAGCAATGGGCCAGGAAAGTCCCTTGGGGTGGCATTAGGTCTGGCTGCATCTCAGCCCTTCCTATGGGTGTTCTATGTAGTCTACCCTGACTGCTCCCCCCAAGAGCTGGCTGCCTCTTGGCATCAAGGCGGTCCTTCTTGAGCTGTGTTATAGGTGCCTGTTCCCCGCTCCCCCTGCCCGCCACAGCTGATTGCATCTCAGCCCCTTCTATGGGCTGTTCTTTGTGGCCATTCCCCTGCTGCCCCCCGCCAGAGCCAGCTTCATCCTGGCCCTGAGCAAGCTCTGGATGCAGCTAAGAGCCTGGGGGCCCCCGGTCCTGTCCCCCCCTACCCCCACCCCCACGGCCGGGCTCTTACCGCCTTCCCCATGGTGGCGACTGGTTCCCGGTAACTGGGTGAACTGGGAAGGCCCGTGACCTTCTCCAGCCCCTTAAATAACACCCAGCCCCTCCCTTGCCCACGTCACAGCTGATAACCCCAAGGGGTGGGGGGGAAAGGCAGGGAGGGGGATCACCTTGGGGGAAGCAAACAGGGCAAGGTGACCCCGGGGTGGGGCCTGGACGCCTGGGTACTTTCCCTGCCGGGGGGTGAGCAGACGCCTGGGTTCTCTGGCAGGGGAGGAGGGCTGGGGAGTGGGAGAGACCCCAGGTGTCTGGGCTCTCTGCCCCCCCACCCCCGCTGTCACCCTCCAGCCGTCATGCCTTGCCCAGAGAACCCAGGTGTCTGGGCTCTAACCAGTGCCCTCCACTACCCTCCCCGTGCCCTTGTCGGGTCCTTATCGGGGCCACGTTATCGGACACGGGACACAGGACACGCACAGGGCTGTGGGGGTGGGAACATGAATGTACATGGAACCTAGTTGTCCGGGACACGCACACAAGCATGCGCGCACGCGTGCGCACTTACACCCCCCACCCCACACACACACCCTTGGGCCTTGTCCATGGCACTTCTCCCCCCCCCAGGAACCCAGGCGTCCGGCCTCCCAGTCCACCCCCCACCCCCAGCTTCCTCATTCCCAATTAAAACCTGTGCGATGTCACTGGGGTTCCCCCCCACCCCAGTGCCTCCTGGGGCAGTGGGGCCAGGCAGAGGAGAGGGAGGTTTGGACACTTGGCAAGTTCCTAATTCACTTCCTCTTCATAGGGGCAATCCCAGCTCTCTCCCTCACCCCAGACTGGGACCAGCTGACTGGACAACATGCCCAGTGAGTCACGGTTCATGGCACCTCCCCAGAGCTGGGCACAACTGGGGACCAAGAGAGGCCTCTCTGCCCCTGAAGGGGCATTGCACTTGGCTGGGCCCGTGTCCCCACCCCAGAGCTAGGCACATGTCGGCCTCTCCGTGGGGTGTTAAACTTGGAAAGTCCCTCTCTGCTCCACCCCAGAGCTGCGTGCATCTCAGCCTTCCTCACTGGGTGTTTTACTTGGCTATTTCCCATCTTTTCCACCCCAGAGCTGGGCACACTGCAGCCCTCCCTATTGGGTGTTATACTTGGCTGTTCCCCACTTGTTCCACCCCAGAGCTGGGCACATCTCAGCCCTCCTAAACTGGTGTTATACTTGGTTGTTTTCCCCACCCCAGAGCTGCTGCATTTCAGCCCTTTCCATTGGGTGTTATAATTGCCCATTTCCCATCTGTTCTGCCCCAGAGGTGGGCACACCTCAGCCCTCCCCACTGAATGTTGTACTGAGCCATCCCTTCTCTGTCGTAGCCCAGAGCTGGGCGCATCTCATTACTCCAAAACCTGTGTTACATTTGGCTGTTTTCCCAACCCCAGGGCTGGGCACACCACAGCTCTCCCCCATGTGTTATACTTGGCTGTTCCCCACTTGTTGTACCCCAGAGCTGGGCACATTGCAGCCCTCCTAAGCCAGTGTTATAATATACTTGGCTGTTATCCCCACCCCAGACCTGGGTGTATCTCAGCCCTCCACACTGAGTGTTATACTCAGTCATCCCCTCTCTGTTCCACCCCAGAGCTGGACACATCTCATCCCCAATCACCCGCTTTGGAGCACATGCCTGGGCCCAGCTGTGGTTTTTATTGGCAGAGTCCCACCCCCGTGGGGGGGGACACAGCCCGCACTGGGACCCCCCCTTAGGTGGAGAAGAGGGTGATGAAGACGATGGTGAGGATGATGGTGAGGAAGATGCCGAGGCCCAGAGCCACATGATTGAGGACCCAGGCCCGTGCCAAGCTGCGCTGCACCCTTTCTATGTCGCCCGCCAGGTTGGCATCCCGGGTCTGCGGGGAGAGAACGGTGCGCCCGGATGCCTGGGTTCCTTGGCCCCCTGGTCTCGTGCCAGGGGCCCCTCCCCGATTTGGAGAGACCCAGGCGTCTGGTTCCCCAGTGATCCCTGCTTTCAGCCCCAGACCCCCTCCCCTCCCCTCCCAGGGAACCCAGGAGTCGGGGCTCCCAGCCCCCCCTCAAAGAACCCAGGCATCCAGGTTCCTCTGCTCCCCTCCCCCAGCCACCCCTCCCTTCTCAAACCTGGAGAGAGCCCAGGTGTCCAGCCCCCGGCCCC